TATCAGTATATTAACCACAAATTCTGCTGACCAGCGAATTATTTTATGGTGATTCATCCTTTCATATATGTAGTGCTCCCGAAATTCATATAAAAAAATACCGTGTAGGCACTTGAGCCTCCTCCAACTGCACTCTTAACTCCTGCCTCGCCATATTGATCATATAAAGCCCTCTTTTTATCATCTGATAGCACCTGACAATGTTATGATTCATAATTCAAAAACTGATATCACAAATATAATTCAAAATAACTGTGCACTCAGTGGTATACGGGCATAAGACTGGTTGATGCCATTGTTCCAGAATAATCTACAAGTTTTAAACATTTCCAAGGAATGAGCAACAAGTAAAGACTATCATAAAACTTTTGATATTGAGTCCTTTAAGACACCGCACACAAAAAGGTAAATAAATAAGAGTATGGGCTCGAACTACACAGTATACACCTATTACTTGATGGTAATCACTTTTTTCTTATCTATGCTTTGAAATGTTGTATGTTGTGATTTGATCTGTCATCTTCTAAAAAGCATTCAAATATTTTTAGAATAATAGCCCCTTTCTCATTGAGAAAATGTAGGCGCAATTCTTTATGTACTTTTCACACTGTTTTCCAATTAGAAATGGAAACTTCTTTAATAATTTGTATAATGAATATTTGCATTAAAGGTACGCAAAGGTTACCGAAGTGAAACTCCAAATTCAAATGGAGAATTGCATCTAGGTTTGTCCCTGGCTCAAAGATGCTTTATATTGGCTGTCAATAGATTCGACCAGGCAATGCATGAAAATAGATGAAAATATTTGAAAAGTAAAAATTCATTCCGATATGAAAACCTTAGAATTAAAAGGAAATAAACGTCGGATCTAACCAGAGGCAGCTAATTCCCTACTGATTACATACAAAAAACAAATTATTAAAGTTAAGTATAGACCAAAACAGTTGGGCCTCCAATGTAAAATTTACAGAAAACTAAAAGATAAAAGAAAACAGCACTCGCGTTAGGACCCTAAACAAGACATCCATTCATTTGCTAGAGCAAAATATCAGTGGACTGCTTTCAAAAGTGATACTAAACATGCATAGAGGTCCAGTAAAGAAGAGTAGCATAGCATAACACGATAGTCAGCAGTGTAGTTTCCATGCAAACCTCATACGCAGCACTAATCTCTTTGAACTTTTCAGTCGCACCGGGCTCCTTATTTACATCAGGATGATACTGAAGAGAAAACGATGAACACAAAATCAGGGTAATTACGAATATCTGAATAAACTATCAAGTGCATTGCATAGTTCAAATTCCAACAAGTAGCCACGAAATCGCAACGATTCCCATCGGATAACTGAATAACAACTCGAATTCCTTGCAATTTCTAATTCGCTACCGGAAGCTCATAATCAACTTGGGATTCGAAATGGATTTTGATAGAGAAGTAGAATTGGATACATACCTGACGAGCTAACTTTCGATAAGCAGCTTTGATTTCCTTTCCTGTGGCGGATTTGGAGATTCCGAGAGTGGAATAGTAGTCGGAGGAAGCGGCGAAGACAGTGTGGAAGCGGCGGCGCGTGGGAGCGAGGTTGGGATTGGAAACCGAGGAGAAGGAAGTTGAAAAGGAAGGAGAATGAATGGAAATGAAGCTGTTGTGAGAGCGGAGATGGACGGTGCCGCAGAAGCAGGGACACGTGGAGGGAGGAAGCAGAGAGAGGGTTGCAGCGGCCATTGAAAGAATGCAAAAATGGATGGAATGAATGAGAGAATACTGATAACTAAGAAGATGAGAACGACTGCGGGGAAATTGTGTGTGTGTTTGTGTTTGTGTTCATGATTTTAGTTTACCCTCTCTGCGTCTACGCGCGTGTGTGGGTGGGAAATAGGCTAAGTGTGTCAAGCACAAAGGTCAGCTTGTATGGCGTTGCCATTGCTACGAACCAGCAAAAGGAGGGACCTCGTGGGACCCGCAAGATAAGTTGTGTGGTCTGATAATGTTTTTAACATGGGATCATAAAATAGGAAAGAGTTCTTTTACACTTTTTTTACAAGGTTGTTAAAAAATGTTAAATTTTATATTTGTAAAAAAAAAAGGTAAAGGTAAAGTATGTGTAAAAATTTATTAGTTTTAATAGATATTAAAACAATAATATCTTTATAAAATATATTTTCTTTTTTGTTTTCTAACATTCATGGAGGAGAACAAAGGAGTTCTAATTTTCTATCATTTTATATTTCTATGATTTTATATTTCTATGATTTTATATTTCGGTATATTCACTATTTCTTTATCCAGTGACGGTATATAGTATTATCAAAATAGATTGTAATCCGTGAGTCAATCTGACTCATCACGGATTTAAGCCGATTTGGGTTTGAAAAAAGAGGGTTACTCCCTCCACTACCACACTATTCTTCTACACCACTAAATACTTATCTTTAATTTTATTTTATTCGAAAACTACCTTTGAGTAGAATTATTTTTACTTTTATCCTATTTAATCTAAAAAACCCTAATCTTCTTTCCCTTTCTTTTGCGGCCGCTTACCCCACACATCCACAAAATCTCATTTCTCTTCATTCTTTCTCCTTCCTACTTTCTTCATCTTTTTTTGATTTTTTTTACATATTTTTCCTCCTTTCCTCCATTCGTTTTCCTTTCGTGCTTGCATCGTGTGCTTCCATTAAGCTATGTTTGAGGTTCATGAAGAGGAGTGTGAAGTGGAGTGTGGTTTGTTCTTGGTTTCCTCTCTTCAGATTCAGGTTGGTTTGTTATTTAGGTTTTGTATGTGTTGTGATTTTGTTATGTTGTATGTAGTGTTATTGTATGTTGTCGTCTGATTTGTCCATGAAATCACTGAAACCAGAAGGTCAAAACGGATATGGAAGATCCGTTTGGCCTTTAATGGATGTGTCAACATCCGTTGGCAGATGTTCACATCCGGTGAAGGCAAAACTGATCTTCCATATTTGTTTTGACCTTTTGATTTCAGTGTTTATTATTTTTTTATTTTTAGCTTTATTTATAGAATATATTTATGTATTTAAATTTTTTTACATGATTAAGCCTGAACACGTACTGTAAATGCATTTTGAAAGTGTGAATGAGTGTTTAATTTTTTTTCCTTTATTAGTTTAATCTTTTTAACTTTATTTACATAATATATTTATGTATTTAGCATAATGTACAATAGCATTACATTTTGTATGTCGGGGATGCATTACATTTTATATGTGGGGTGCATTACATTTTATAGTGGGATCGCTTTTAACTGGTGGTTGGACGTTGGTGCAAAGGAAATTTTTTTACCAACTATTTTTAACTCTCTAATAGAAGTAAATGAAGGGTAAATGAGAAATGTGGTGGTGTAGGGAGAAACCCTCTTGAAAAAAATATAATTTTTTTATGCGGGCTAGTTTTTAACTCGGCTCACTTAGAACCCGACTCACCAAGTTGATCCGTTGTGAGTCGAGTTGGAACCTACCTAATTTAATTTAATTATTTATTATTTTTTGTTTTAATATTATTAGTTAACATTTTTTTATTATATTATAGATGGTTATAAAGAAAATGTTTTGAGAAAAAAAATATATTATAGATTTATCTATTCAAGACTCTAATATTATAAATGGACAAGTGATACAAAAGTTATCAATATTAAAAACTTATTAGTTCACGTACATGTTTTTGGATTATGCTTAGATTGTATAATACTTTTTTTTTTATTTTGAATTTGGAGTTTAACATGTGTGACTTTTATTTAGATTTGAATTTAAAAAATTGTAATTTTTTTATTTTAAAAAAGTTTATAATTAAATGAGTCAGTGAGTCAACCCGTTTAACCCACCAACCCGTGATAGGTCAGGTCGGGTTCGAATTTTTTCAACTCGCTAATAAGTGAGCCGAGATGGATTGACTCACTGAGTGACCAACCCATGATAAGCCGGGCCAAATTAAGTCAGATTATCTGTTTTGACAACTGATGTCTTTGTTTTCACTTATGTATTATATGAAAGGAAGTGAAATAATGAATCTCGAAACCTAGGTTTTGATTGAATTCATTCATTTAAAGAGAAAAAGATACAATCAGAAAGTTAATTGGACTAAGAAGGAGACTTTCATCACTTATAAAAGATTACAAAAAACTATATATAAGTTGATATAAACTATGAACTTGAAGAAAGTCTCCTAAAGAACACATTTATATAGATACTCGATGAAAATAATATTTTTTTATTATAAATGGACTCATATAATTCAATCTCTTCTTAATTAGTCTTGCTTGTTATTATATCTTCCTTGCAAAGGACTAAAAGAAAAAATAATTATAACAAACCTAATAGATGACTAATTTAAAAAACTAAATATGAAATTAACAAAGTTGTTGATGCATAGACTGCGTAAAATATGATGGTTGAAAATTTGTCATGATTTAATATTTTAGTAAGTAAAATCAGATAGCTAAATATGAGAGGGATTTTATGTATGGAAAAATTGTCCATCTCAAAGCCTTTTTCATTATTTATCAAGTTTGGATTACAATTTTATTCAAACCTAGCATATAAGAGTTTGAATCAATTTGTTTCTCAAAATAGTACTTACTACAAAGAGCTCATCGACATATTTTATTCAAAACATTCCTATAGTCAACCCTCTAGATTGGTATTATGACTAATCTTAATTATCAAAGTCAAAAATTTTATTTCAAACATCTCATACAAGATTAACCACAATCAATAGATGACTTGAAAATTATGATTAGATAAAAACAATGTAATATAATGTTACTACATCGTCTTCTCTTTTGTATTTTCTTAATCTGGATCACAGCATTTCTATATGAAAAACAAACTCTAATTACACATCTACAACTAACTTTCCCAGAAAAAAAAAAAATGTACAAAGCACAAACTCAATCATTTAACCCATCAAAACTTGGAACAAGTATATCATCTCTACATGGAAATCAATATTATCTTGTATGGAATAAGGACTGCAATAGTAATAATCGAAAATAGTAAACTCAATTTAAAACATAATTGGCAGTAAACTGTTGTGGTGGTACATCAAGTGATCTTAGCATTCATAGTAATTACAGTACACTCAAATCTCGATGCTAAAGTAGTGATAAATAGTTGAATTAACTGACGAATACTCTCATCTATAGTGTCAAATTCTATCCAAATCACCCCCGAACTGTGGGAATAGTTACCATTCCTTGACCTACAGGAGCAACACAACTGCAACAAATCAGCAACAAGCATTTTTCTCTGGGATAATTAATTAACCAAATGCAGCTATGCCTAAATTAATATTCTACATACAGATCGCTATAGAAGGCATCAGGAGGGAAACGCCCAGGAAAAGAGTTGTACTGTTGTGCCTGATTCAAATGCATCCGCAAAGCATAGTTATTCACCTGTCAAAAAAACCACAAGACACAGCATTCATCAGCAAGCACAAAAAAGTTTTAACTGAACAAAAATGGGTCATGATTATTAATCTAAGAATTGCATCCACCATTATAACTACCAATCCCTCTGTCTATGGGTTGAAGAAATAGTATCTCCTCATATCTTAACAGTCTGAAACAATGGACAGGTTGAAGCATAGGATAAGACAAAGAAGGAGGAAGTTGGGAGATGAATAAAAGGAAAATTCTGACTTAAAAGATCTGTGGTTGATTGGAGATAGTAGAATTACTACCAAGTCTAAATCCCGCGAGGATATACACAGTAGCATATCCATGATCATCAATCAAGTCATTCCTATTTCTAAAGCAAAATGCTAACAGCATTTTCTCCTTTCCTCTTCAATTTTATAAAGGAAAGGGATTCAAAATTTATGCAGATAATAGTTCAATTTCAAACTTCAAATCCCAATGTACGACTTTGAAATCAACCTGGACAAAACTGTACCTCAAGAGTTCTGATCTGCTCCTGATATTGAGACACCAACTGCTTCAACTGCTGCAACTCTTGGGTTTTACTATCGTAATCCGAAAGGCGTTCAAGCTGGATTCTAAAAGCACTTTTAAAACAATTTTTCTCCTTAGTCAGGGCTTCAATTTGCTCCTTCAGCATCAAATTTTCCTGAAAGTGAAAACCACTCATGAGTGACAACAACCAAAACTATCACATCAGTTATTAATATAACCAAACTGATACTTCAACATGTAGCTATCCGTTGAAAACATTACTTACCTACATGCAAGATGTCAACGCATCATACACACGAAATTTAATGCATACAAGCCTCAAATGCAGGTGCATCAGGCTAACTTGCTAGCATGTACCACAGACTATTATAATCTACAACAACAGCCTTCCAAATTCCCATGACCAAATTCTTAAACAAGTACAGTTAACGGAAGCAATTGAAGCACGAGACATACCCTTTGAAGGGCAGTTGTTGCCCCAGAACTGGCGTGTGCACTAATAGATTTTTCTAAAACCTCTAGCAGTCTAGCAGCTCGAGCTCTGGCATCATCAACGCTGGTAGCACATGTCATCTCTCTGACAAACAAGTCAATCCACTCAGCTCCATCAGCAGGAAAGTTGTCTGCAGCCGGCTGACCCCCAGAAGCAGATGCAGCATCCCCATTCTCTTCCAAAGCTCCTGCAAGTTTTTCAAAATCAAACCAACCAGATCATTTAATTAAGCCATACAATTTTATCAAAGAAATTAAAGCCGATAACGAGACACAACGAATATCCAATTGAAATTCAAAAACCACGGGTACGAATAATAGTAATCCAACTATAAATTAAAGAATAATAGTAATCCAACTATAAATTAAAATCGATAATCTTTAATCTTTTGGTGAGGATTTAAATAACGGTAACCTAATTACACCTGTGTCAGGGTGGGGTTGAGGAGCAGCTTGAGAATTATCATCGGTAGATCCCAGACGGAGGCCGTGGAGGCTCTTGATGGCAGCATCTAGGTCATTACCACATTCTTGGAGGGCTTTCTCGAGGATCTGTGAGAATAACAGAAAACAAAATTAGCGATGAATTTGAATTTAATTACCAAAGAAAGCATCAAAGAAAAAAGAAAACCTGATCATCCATATGAGGGAAGAGAGGGCGAAGGTGATCGACGAGGGAAGGAAGAGAGAGGCGAATTGGGGAAGATGAACAGCGGAGCCTCTTGGATACTGGCGGGGAAGGTGGAAGCTCTTCGAACAAAGATCTCTTGCTTCCGCACACCGCAGCAGACATCGTTCAATTGCAACAATTGTGCCCGCTTTTCTTCTTCTTCTTCTTCTTATTCTATCTTTCTCTTCCCCCAAATAATAATATCAATTCTATTCTATTCAATTCAATTCCACACAAGATAGGGTTCGGTTAGGATTGAACGGGGAAGAAGGGAACAACAATGCAAAAGAACGAAAGAAGAAATGAGGGTTTATATGAATTGGTGTGGTATATGATATTCGTCTCTTGGATAGGTCAAGTTCCCAACAAACAAGTTAAGTTACGGCCTGTTCCGTCCTATTCCAAATCCAAAGTCAGGGTTACCTATCTATGCCAATGCCATCTATCCAAAATTTTCATCTTCCTTCTTTTATCTCCTAATCTCATACTCCTAATTTTTTTATATCTAACTTAATCAAACCTAATCACTCACTAATACCTTTTAAATCCTGCGCTGAAATTATTGAAAAATGAATTACAAGACTTCAAATTAAATTTCTACCCATAAATTATATATTTATTGACTTTTTAAACATGTTTCATTTGACTATTTTTTATTATAATCTGAAATTAAGACTTAGCAAAACCAAATATTTTGTAAGTCGTTTGTTCAATTTATTATTATTATTATTATTATTTTACGTTTTTCTAGCATGAATACAGCCAATGGTAAATCTTATATAATTTAATGCTCCATGTGCGCATATAAATTTATTAATTTGATTGATGAAGTTCTCAAATAATAATGAATAGTTGCTTGAAAATTAAAAAAAAAATATTTTATCGTAATATATAAACATTTAAATAAATTTTTTGAAAAGTGACATAACATATCTAATTTCAGAAGTGTGAGGTTTAAACTATGAAGGTGTTTTTAGTAGAATTATAATATTTGTACTGTATATAAAATTATATACAATTATGCAAGAACATAAATCATAAATCATAAGTATAAACTTAATACAGTGTTGTGTTTAAAAAGTGTTAGGAATACAATAATAATAGAATTATGATTAAAAGCAAAACTCTCTACCATATATTCAAAGTTTTAGGAAGTTGTATATAATTGTATAATATTTTTAAAAATAAATCCAATAAGAAAGGTGACTATCAACCTTACTTTTGTGTATGAATTTTCTTTTTTGAAACGATAGAAATTTTATATGAATGGTGCATTATTCATTAAAAGAAATACACCAGTACTTGAAATGGTAAAGACATAACATATTTGCTGTAAAAAAAGTATTTGAGATTATCTAAATATACAAATTTTAACAACTTTACTGTTCTTCTATTTACGAGATTTAAAGATCGATCATGTCATAAGGGAAAAAAATTATAGATATTATAATTTGATTATTCTTATACTTTGAAATCGTGTTAATATTCTTTATCTTTTATAATCCATATGATATAATATATTACAAGAAAAAATGATTTTATTGGTAACAGGTAATCTCTAATAGTAGTCTCACACACAAAAATATGTCCAAAAGAAAAAGGATATTGATGAGTTTTTTGGGTTTATTTTTCTTTAATACAAATCTAAATTTTTATTTATGATTCAAATATGTTAATTGAGATTTTAACTTATAGTAATTTTGATTATGATCTACACCAAAACTTATAGAAAACACAATTTTTTAGAAGGCATTTAAAAAATAAATAAAGTCGTCTAATAGATGCAGTGTATAGACTAAAATTAATATTGTGTAATAAACTATTATATCTCAAATCATAATTTCTTTAAATAAATATTTTTAAAATAAAATGATTAATTATCACTTATTAATATCAATCAATATATAAGAATACCTCGTTATATTTAGGTTTAATACCTCTTTTGATCCCTCGAAAGGGGGCCAATGTTCAATGTGGTCCCACCTTTTTTTAGAAGTTCAATGTAGTCCCATCTTTTGTAAAAAGTGTACAATCAAGTCCTTTTTGGAAACGGCGTTAATTTTTTAACGGAGCAGCTGACAGGGTGGACTGAAGTTAGCTACGTGGCTTTGTGTGGGTAATACGTGGCTGTGAGTGGGTGCTACGTGGCTGTGAGAGGGTAAATTTGATAATGTTACTGAGGTTAGGAAATCAGAAGTTAGGGTTTCAGGAGTTTTAGAGAAATTGGTAATTTGGGATTGATCATCGTGGAGGAAGTGTGTTGAAATCTCAAGCGCTATCCTTCCCAGTATCATCATCATCATCTTTCTTAGCCTCAGGCTTGCTATCCTTCCCAGTATCATCATCATCATCTTCAACCTCGCTATCACTGCTAAGAACCTCTTCTTTATCCATCATACTCTCCCCTTGTTCTTTAGCCAGAAAGTCAACCTTTTTATCCCCATCTCCCACCCCATCAAGGTGATCCGTAAAGTCAAGTTTGGTTTGCGGAGGGGAATCATCCCAAACCCTGTTTTTCTTAACCACCTTTTTTGGTTCAACCTTGGCAGCAACAACGACCTCTTTCTTCTTCCCGTTCCCATTTCCATTGTCCCCTTTTCCTTTAAGCTTTTGCAGCCTATTTACATCAAAAGCCCCTATATTAGCACTCTCATTCTCTTTCCCAATATTCACACTACCATTACCACTACTCTTCAAGTTAGCATTAGAATTATTCTTAGCTACAACAAAACCACCATTCTCAATTCTAAGCCCTTTCTTCCCATCACCATCCCCGTCACTCTTTTTTTCTGTCCCAGCGTTTTTCCCTTCCCCCTGCCACGTGTCATTTGGCTGTTTCCTTTGAGGAGCCACCGCGGGGAGGGGATTCGTTTTCTTCAAATTCTCGGCGCGTGCCTCGGCCTCGATCTGCAGCTGGCGGAAGATCTCGTCAAAATCTCGGTATTCGGTTTTTTGGGATTGGTATAGGCCAGAGAATTCGCGTTTGACGGCGGCGAGTAGATCGTCGACGTAAAGGAGGTGGAGGATGCTCCAACATCTTTGATCACTGCAATGCCACAAACAGTCTGAGATAGGTTTTTTCTGATTTGGGAAATTGAAAAAAAAATGGAAAAGATGGGTTAGGTTTGTGGAGGATACGGGAAATGCAGAAGATGATGGAACACGCACTGACACCAACTCACAGCCACGTATTACCCACACAAAGCCACGTAGCTAACTTCAGTCCACTCTGTCAGCTACTCCGTTAAAAACTTAACGCCGTTTCCAAAAAGGACTTGATTGCACATTTTTTACAAAAGATGGGACCACATTGAACTTCTAAAAAAATGTGGGACCACATTGAACATTGACCCCTTTTCGAGGGACCAAAAGAGGTATTAAACCTTATATTTAATATATTTTTAATAATTACTAAGTCCTTTTATCTTTTTATTTAAAATATTTATTTAACGTTCTTTATATATTTATCTAACTATTATGATTTTTCTCTATCTTACATCTAATGAGCGTTACTTAAAATAAGTAGATAACATTTTTGTCTCATAGATAAAAAATAAATAAAACTAAATAAAGCCTACATTAAAAAACCTCTAACTTATTTATATGTTAAGTGATAGTTTTTTTTATATGTTGTGATGAATTAATTGTCTGGTTATAAAATGGCATAATGTGTTTTGTGCAATCAATTAATTTTTCAAACAGTATCTTTAGACATAATCAACTCACTAAAAAACTATGCACAAACTTTTCTACTGTTATCATTTTTAATCAATTCATTTTGTTTAATGTTGAGCAATGTACACAATATTGAGTTTAAACCACTCGAGTTAGTTAATTTAAAACGATATAAACAATAATAATTATTATATATAAATATTCAAAGTGATAATACGAGAATATAATAACCACTCATAATATTAAATTATGATATTATCAGGCTATCATTTTAACTTATGTATTGTTAGGGGTTTAATCATCATGTAAACTGAATTATTTGACATGTCAATTTTTGTTAGTCCATCAACACCTAAAAAAGTATATATATTTTTGTGTGTAAATTAATATTTTATGTCAATATATTTAATTCTTTCATAATATATTTAATTCGTGGTCAACTATATAAAACTAAATCATTGTTTGTATTTTATTCTAAACTCAAATCGCTAACCTAACTTATAAGCCAAATAACTAAAAAAAAATGACATTTTTCATTATCATATTCGTGAAAAACTCTCAAAATTTATAGAAAATATTATTTTTTCCAGGGATTTTATATTCGTGAGGAAAGGAATTGCATTCCAGAACTTTTTTATGCAGTGAGAAACTGTTCATTAATTTATTTAGTGGGAAATTACTCACAGGAAATTTGGTAACATCTCTTGAATATTTCGTAATGCATTTTACTTAATAATTTGCTATAATTGCTTTCAAAAACATTTAAGAAAAACCCAGGAATATTTTTGGACAAGTATTCACAATGAACTTTCATAATAATGTTTTTATTGGATAATTTAAGTCTCACATTGTATATAAATAAAAAAGTAAAACAGTATATAAAGATGAAAGACCATTAACTAATTATTTTAAGGTTTTAGATAAAAAGTAATCATCTCTTATATAATTGACTCAGATGTTATTGGTATTTTTCTAATCACAGAGGTCACTTCCTCTTCAATAAACCCAACGGTTGTCATATCATGTAATTAAATTTTTTCATTTTTAATTGAAATTATAAATTTTAAAATAAATTAAAGATTATGCAATATATAATATTTTTAATCCATTAACAACTTCAATTTTTCAAAGCTATATAAAAAAATAGAATACGTTATAAAGATACTAAAATGAAAGTTGGGGCCATCACAATTGGGCTGAAACACGGAGCCCAAGTAAAGCTAACCCAACCGTGAAGGCGGTATGAGAAAAGAGACGGCACGTGGTAGCGTCGTTACTAATAGCAATTTTCGAACACCCACTGTCGTTCCTTTTCCACCTCTCAGTCACTCAACTCTGTTTGTTTTATCTCTCACTCATAAACCCTAGAACTTACAAATCCTTCTGCAGAGAGCCCTACAAAGCTCTTCGTTTAATCCACGCACGACATGCTCTGAAACTAGTTGCAATCATTTACACTACGCTGCTTCATCCAATTTCCGAAGCTTCAAGCTCCGACAGAGTAATCATTTCAAGATGTGGAACAACGGGCAGATTGTGCCGCCAGGAACTTCCGTTCCCCCTATTCCTCCACCTCCGACCGCGCAACCCTCGTACACGGTGCTTCCACCGCCGCCTCCACCTCCCGCGCCTATGGAGACCGAGGCCGATGCGGAGGCGCGGCTCGAGGAGAAGGCTAGAAAATGGCAACAGCTCAATTCGAAGCGGTACAGTGACAAGAGGAAATTCGGATTTGTCGAGACGCAGAAAGAAGACATGCCTCCTGAACATGTCAGGAAAATCATCAGGCAAGTGTTAATTGTTTTACACGCCTCGCTGCGGATTTCTTTTTCGAAGATTGCTGCTACAAGTGTTCTGTTATTCGTAACATGAGGTTTTGGAGTTGCTCGTTAAGGAAGTGAAATAAAGTTGTCTAATGAAACTACTTATGCAGTCTTAGAATTTATAAATGAGATTGAAGTTGCTTTGTTTTGCTGGGGAGAAAGGATGCCGGGTTATAACTAATGTTAGCGCTAGCTGATAGCTGATTAGAATCCATATTTTTCCGTGTTATGAACTTTGAAATGGATAATTTTCTCTCTGCAACGTGATGCGCTTAATTGATTTTTCCGTTTTGATTCAGAAGAAATGGTGTTAAGTTACTTGGACGTTATTTTTGTGTTTAAGCTTTGTGATGATCAAGGTTAGCTTGAAGATTGATGTAGAAGGATGTTCTGATAAAAAACCATCACTGTTTTATACCAGTTGGTTGATTCCAGAACATATCATTGGATGCTTATATGTTGGCAATAATTGGAATGTGTTTGAGTTTCTGACTTTGTATTGCGTAAATAACCAACTATGTTTCCCTGTGATGTTTTTTCTAATTTAATTATGGTGTTATTACCATAGTTTCCAGTAGTTATTATCTTTTCTGCTCTTTATTTCAGGGATCATGGCGACATGTCCTCAAAGAAATATCGTCATGACAAACGTGTCTATCTTGGAGCTCTTAAATTCATACCCCACGCTGTTTACAAGCTCCTGGAAAATATGCCTATGCCATGGGAGCAGGTTCTGTATATGTTCCAGTTCCTCGCGTTTGATCAATCTGGCTGTCTAGTTTTCCTCCCTTTCATTTGATTCATTGTACATAGTGATAACTTCTATAAATCTACTTTTGATAAATGTAGGTTCGAGATGTGAAGGTCTTGTACCATATTTCTGGGGCTATAACATTTGTTAATGAAATACCATGGGTTGTTGAGCCTATTTATCTTGCTCAGGTTTGTTATTCTAATATCTTTGTGCTGTACACATTATCAGCTTATCATTGATTTTGCAGTAAAAAGTAAAATCAGTTATCTTGTGTATAATCTTGGTATAGTATTTGTTTTATCTCTATAATTATGCACTAAAAAACTGTTGTGCAGTGGGGTACCATGTGGATCATGATGAGAAGAGAGAAAAGGGATCGTCGCCATTTTAAGAGGATGCGGTTTCCCCCATTTGATGATGAGGAGCCTCCTCTAGACTATGCCGATAATCTTTTAGATGTTGATCCTCTAGAGCCTATTCAACTGGAGCTAGATGAAGAGGAAGATTCTGCTGTGTATACTTGGTTTTATGACCATAAGCCCCTTGTGAAAACAAAACTTATAAATGGTCCTAGTTACCGGAAATGGCATCTCTCCCTCCCTATAATGGCAACTCTGCATCGACTAGCTGGCCAACTTCTGTCCGATTTAATTGACCGCAATTATTTCTACTTGTTTGACATGGAGTCATTTTTTACAGCAAAGGCTTTGAACATGTGCATACCTGGTACTTAGATTTCTTTCATGCCTATATTCTTTGCTATTTGTATTGAAAAGTAATTAAACTTGTTATGAACTGGGTCAGATATTGATCGTGATATCCTTCGAACATGATATTACTAAATAAAAGACTAGGTATCAAGGCAGATTATAGTAAGCTGTATAAGAAATATTAATTTATTTTGCAAATAATTTTAAGCATATTAGAATTATGTGGAGAGTAAAAATTGTGGATTGATTATTTTTCTTTTTATGTGTGCCATCCAGGTGGACCTAAATTTGAACCTCTCTACCGTGATATGGAGAAGGGAGATGAGGACTGGAATGAGTTTAATGACATCAATAAGCTCATTATAAGGTCACCTCTTCGGACAGAGTATAGAATTGCTTTTCCTCACCTTTATAACAATAGGCCTCGCAAAGTAAAGCTTTGTATCTACCATACTCCCATGATCATGTACATAAAAGCTGAAGATCCTGATCTACCTGCATTTTACTATGACCCCTTGATACACCCAATAACCAGTGCGAACAAGCGTGAGAAGAGAGTTTATGAAGAGGATGATGATGATGATTGGATATTACCAGATGGTGTGGAGCCTTTGCTTAAAGATACACAACTTTATACAGACACTACAGCTGCTGGAGTCTCCTTGCTGTTTGCTCCTCGTCCTTTTAATATGAGATCTGGTCGGATGAGGCGGTCAGAGGATATTCCTCTCGTGTCAGAGTGGTACAAGGAGCATTGGTAAGTTGTAGCTTTATCTCGTATGCTTTCTTGTGTCTTTCAATTATGCATTTGGCATTTTGACATTACATTTTTTAATAATATTCTGATACAAAAGTGAACTGTTTCGTTTTTATTGTCCAACAGTCCTCCGTCATATCCAGTCAAAGTTCGGGTTAGTTATCAAAAGTTGTTGAAATGTTTTGTGTTGAATGAGCTGCATCATAGACCTCCTAAGGCTCAAAAAAAGAAGCACTTATTCCGTTCCCTCCAAGCAACCAAGTTTTTCCAAACCACAGAACTTGATTGGGTAGAGGCAGGTCTTCAAGTTTGTAGGCAGGGGTATAACATGCTAAATCTGTTAATACACAGGAAAAATTTGAACTACCTTCACCTTGATTATAATTTTAATCTAAAGCCTGTGAAAACCTTGACTACGAAAGAGCGGAAGAAATCACGTTTTGGCAATGCTTTCCATCTATGTCGTGAGATCCTCCGTCTGACTAAACTCGTGGTTGATGCCAATGTTCAGTTCCGATTGGGGAATGTGGATGCTTTCCAGCTGGCAGATGGTCTGCAGTATACTTTTTCGCATGTTGGACAATTGACTGGTATGTATCGGTATAAGTACAGGCTTATGAGGCAAATAAGAATGTGCAAGGATTTGAAGCACTTGATTTACTATCGTTTTAATACGGGGCCTGTTGGAAAGGGACCTGGATGTGGGTTTTGGGCGCCAATGTGGAGGGTTTGGCTATTTTTTCTTCGTGGTATTGTGCCTCTTCTTGAACGATGGCTGGGCAATTTACTTGCACGCCAGTTTGAGGGGCGTCACTCAAAAGGCGTGGCAAAGACTGTCACTAAACAGCGTGTCGAGAGCCACTTTGACTTGGAGCTTCGGGCAGCAGTTATGCATGATGTGCTTGATGCCATGCCAGGTAATAAATTTTTGTTTAACATATATTCTTTTGATTCAGTTTATTTTCGTGTAGTGGTCTTTATTACTTTTTCTATGGATTTACTAAACTTATGGTGTTTTCCTTGTTGATGGTAGAGGGTATAAAGCAAAACAAGGCAAGAACCATCTTGCAGCATTTGAGTGAGGCTTGGCGATGCTGGAAGGCAAATATTCCCTGGAAGGTAAACAATTATTTGATTGTAACTCTTTTTACATGTGGCAATTTTAGCATTAATTTGGATTAGTATTGAACTAGTTTGTTTAAACTCCAAATAAGTATTTCTGAAATAAGGAATTATTTTTAAAATCACTATATTAAGAATTAGATAGAATTTGTTAATAAGAAAAAGCAGAAAACTTCTTATTTTTAAAAGAAGTAGAATAGTCAATCACATAAAAAAGTAGAAATATTTTTGTTTTATTAGAAAAACGCACTCGTTTAAAAATGAGCACAAACCAAACTTGCCCAATATCTTAGAATATAGAAAATTAGTGTTTATTTTTTAAAAATAAATTAATACAATCATTTACTAAATTTTATTAATGGGATTAATCTCTGTGTTGGTGTCGTTGATACTGCTGGTGAAATAGTAAACTTAAAACATCGTTGGATTACTAATGCACTAAATTAGGTTGCTGGTTAATAGCAAAACTCAGTTCGTGTTAGGTTTGAAGAGCACTTGAAAGAAGTCTAAATTGCGTGTCTATAAGCTATTGAAAGTCCTGAGCTTAGTGAGGCACAATAAGCAGCGAAAAACATCATTCTGAAAGTTATCAGGAATATGTTTTCATATATTGTAGCCTAGAGAAGCCATTCCTTCCTTTTGCTCAAATATTTATTTCTCCTCACCCGAATTGGGTTTTCTTCTTTATAGTCTCGCTATTGATATATTTCATAATATGTAGGTTCCTGGTCTGCCTGTTCCAATTGAGAACATGATTCTTCGATATGTGAAATCAAAAGCAGACTGGTGGACAAATGTTGCACATTATAATCGAGAGCGAATAAGAAGAGGTGCAACTGTGGATAAGACTGTCTGTCGAAAGAATCTTGGAAGATTGACACGCCTCTGGCTGAAGGCGGAGCAGGTCTGTTTACTATTCTCTCTGACTGATATGATTTTTTCTGGCTAACTATTTCAAAGAATTGTTGTTTGAATCAGTTCTATACTTTTTTTAATAAATATCTGTGGAGTCACTTCCTTGTCATTGATACTTTATGCAGGAACGTCAGCACAATTATTTGAAAGATGGTCCGTATGTTACTCCTGAAGAAGCAGTTGCAATCTATACAACAACTGTACATTGGCTGGAATCTAGGAAGTTCTCCCCTATTCCATTTCCACCTTTATCATACAAGCATGACACCAAGCTGCTTATCCTTGCACTCGAGAGGTTGAAAGAATCCTATAGTGTTGCAGTGAGGTTAAATCAACTGCAAAGAGAAGAGCTGGGGCTGATTGAACAGGCTTATGACAATCCCCACGAGGCATTATCAAGAATAAAACGGCACCTGCTCACACAGCGTGCCTTCAAAGAAGTATGTGCAAATATAATTAAAATTTGTTAGTTTTAGTATGTGCATTTCTATTACAGGATAGCACTGATATTGTTTTGTTTTGTTTTGGCAGGTTGGGATAGAATTTATGGATTTATATAGCTACTTGATTCCAGTTTATGAGATAGAGCCTCTTGAGAAAATTACAGATGCATATCTCGATCAATACCTGTGGTATGAAGGTGACAAACGTCATCTCTTTCCGAACTGGATCAAGCCAGCAGATTCAGAGCCACCTCCCCTTTTGGTTTACAAATGGTGTCAAGGTATAAACAATTTGCAAGGTATTTGGGACACAAGTGATGGTCAGTGTGTTGTGATGCTGCAAACTAAGTTTGAGAAATTCTTTGAGAAGATTGATTTAACGATGCTGAACAGGTATGTGATTTGTTGATCACTCTGGTTTTACTAGGCTATTTTCACTTCTAATTTTTTTTTATGTTGCAGGCTTTTGCGGCTGGTTTTGGACCATAATATTGCTGATTATGTCACTGCAAAGAACAATGTTGTGTTGTCATACAAGGATATGAGCCATACAAATTCATATGGTCTTATCCGTGGCCTTCAGTTTGCTTCATTTGTAGTTCAGTATTATGGATTGGTATTAGATCTTTTGCTTCTTGGGTTGACTCGAGCCAGCGAGATTGCTGGCCCACCACAGATGCCAAACGAATTCATTACTTACTGGGACACAAAAGTTGAGACTAGGCATCCAATCAGGCTTTATTCTAGGTATATAGATCGGGTTCATATATTATTTCGCTTCACCCATGAGGAGGCTCGAGACCTCATTCAGCGCTATCTGACTGAGCACCCTGATCCTAACAATGAGAACATGGTGGGCTACAATAATAAGAAGTGCTGGCCAAGAGATGCTAGAATGAGGCTCATGAAGCATGATGGTATAGGATTCTCCATTTTTCTTTGTGGTTTTTATTTATGTTTACATTTGATTCTTAATATGTTTGCAATTTGAATTGGTATAATTCAGTCAATCTTGGGAGGAGTGTCTTTTGGGATATGAAGAATCGTCTTCCTAGAAGTATCACAACATTGGAATGGGAGAACAGCTTTGTTTCTGTTTACAGCAAGGATAATCCAAACTTGCTTTTCAGCATGTGAGTGTTGATTTTTTTCAGCGATTCTAAATTTTTTCCTTTTCGTTGTTAAATGGAAATGGTTGCACATGTTAATTACTTTTTGCACTGCATTCAAGCCTTTGAAAATATCTAACTGGCCTAGGATGTCTGATTTATGATGATTGTGATTGAAATTATGATTTTAAATGGTCTAGTTCTTTTAGTTGCTTTAATTATATGTCATTCTACTCCCCATATGTAATTTTTGTATTTCTATTTGTAATTTGCTTGATGCCAATTTGTCATATCTTCATATTTTTTTGGGTTTTTAATTTTTTTTAGCCTATGCTTGTGATGAGTGAATCTATCTTTGCTTACATCTGTCAATCACCTTTAGGTGTGGGTTTGAAGTAAGGATACTTCCTAAAATTAGAATGACTCAAGAAGCATTCAGTAACACAAGAGATGGTGTCTGGAATCTCCAGAATGAACAGACGAAAGAAAGGACAGCTGTTGCTTTCTTACGGGTTGATGATGAACACATGAAAGTATTTGAGAATCGTGTGAGACAGATTCTTATGTCTTCTGGTTCCACTACATTCACAAAAATTGTAAATAAGTGGAATACAGCTTTAATTGGTAAGTGAAGCTGAATTATGGAGACTCTATGAAGAGGTTATCATCATTTTTCTCATAGTATTTGTTTTCAGGACTCATGACCTATTTTCGGGAGGCAACTGTACATACCCAAGAGCTGTTAGATTTGCTAGTTAAATGTGAAAATAAAATTCAGACTCGCATTAAGATTGGGCTGAACTCAAAGATGCCTAGCAGGTTTTTAATCCTTTTTTCTATTGTAGGTATATTAGTTGTTTCTTACTATTGTATTCATAACTATTGGGTTTAAAACTATGCTCTACTGTCATCAGGTTCCCACCTGTCATTTTCTACACTCCTAAAGAAATAGGAGGGCTTGGAATGTTGTCCATGGGTCATATTTTGATTCCACAAAGTGATCTTCGATACAGTCAGCAGACAGATGTGGGAGTAACCCACTTTAGGAGTGGAATGAGTCACGAGGAGGACCAACTGATTCCCAACCTTTATCGTTATATACAGGTGAACCTTAATTTACTTCCTCCTAAATGGATTAATATGTATGCATTTGCCTTGTCATGTGATTTGTGAAGAGTCATATTTAAATGAACTTTATCTTTATGTTCTCTTGGATTATGCAGCCTTGGGAGAGCGAGTTCATTGATTCACAGCGTGTCTGGGCTGAATATGCATTGAAAAGACAGGAAGCACAGGCACAAAACAGACGTTTGACCCTCGAAGATCTGGAAGTGAGTTTCTGATGCCTTTTTATTGATCTCAATATTTGTGTTTTGGTATACTGGTCTTGACTCTGGATAATATAGTGGCAATGTGGATCTGCTTTTCTTTGGAACACATCTACTTATTTACCTAATAAGCTATGTTGATCTGTTTTGCAGGATTCATGGGATAGAGGTATACCACGTATTAACACACTGTTTCAGAAGGATAGACACACTTTGGCTTATGATAAGGGATGGAGGGTGCGCACTGATTTCAAGCAGTACCAAGTTCTGAAACAAAACCCCTTCTGGTGGACACATCAAAGGCATGATGGGAAGTTGTGGAACTTGAACAATTACCGAACTGATGTTATTCAAGCCCTTGGAGGAGTTGAAGGAATTCTTGAACATACTTTATTCAAAGGAACATAGTAAGTCTTATATGCCCCTGAGCTTGTTTTTGCTGTTTGACTCAGTTTTAACTCTTTCTGCCACGTGCCTACTATGGAAAGAGCTGTAATTAATTGATCTACTGTTACTTTTCACTGTCAGTTTTCCAACTTGGGAAGGTCTTTTCTGGGAAAAGGCATCTGGCTTTGAGGAATCTATGAAGTATAAGAAGCTCACAAATGCTCAGAGATCTGGTCTGAACCAAATACCCAACCGAAGATTTACACTATGGTGGTCGCCAACCATTAACCGAGCCAATGTTTATGTGGGTTTCCAAGTGCAGCTAGATCTGACTGGTATTTTCATGCATGGAAAGATACCAACTTTGAAGATTTCCCTTATTCAGATATTCCGAGCTCACTTGTGGCAGAAGATCCATGAGAGTGTTGTTATGGATCTCTGTCAGGTTTTGGATCAAGAGTTGGATGCTTTGGAGATTGAAACTGTTCAGAAGGAAACGATCCATCCAAGGAAAAGTTACAAAATGAACAGTTCTTGTGCTGATATTCTTCTCTTTGCTGCTCATAGATGGCCAATGTCAAAGCCTAGTCTTGTAGCTGAATCTAAGGATGTTTTTGATCAGAAGGCAAGCAATAAGTACTGGATTGATGTTCAATTACGATGGGGTGATTATGACTCTCATGATATTGAACGTTACACTAGGGCTAAGTTCATGGACTATACAACAGATAACATGTCCATATACCCATCACCAACTGATATATCTCTATCATTTACTATTCTCCATTATATGTATTTTTGTGTGTAGAGCTGACTACATTTTTTCCATTCAGGTGTAATGATTGGCATTGATTTGGCATATAATTTGCATTCTGCATTTGGCAACTGGTTCCCTGGGTCAAAGCCACTACTTCAACAGGCCATGAACAAGATCATGAAGGTAAATAAACCGCCATACATCACATATCTGTTGCAAAATTATAAATTATAAATCACTTACATATATTGACTTCTATATTTTGGGGATAAAAGTTTTGATGACCTGTTTTAATCTATATGGATTCCATCCCACCAAGCTATGGTGTCCATAGTGTTGAACGTAAGTGTATTATGTTATCTAACAGTCGTTAAACTAATAATGTTGTGCATATGCAGTCCAATCCTGCACTGTATGTGTTGAGGGAACGAATAAGGAAAGGTTTGCAATTGTACTCTTCTGAGCCCACAGAACCATATTTATCTTCCCAAAACTATGGAGAGATATTCAGCAACCAAATCATATGGTTTGTTGATGACACAAATGTGTATCGTGTTACTATCCATAAGACTTTTGAAGGAAATCTTACAACCAAGCCCATCAATGGTGCTATTTTTATTTTCAATCCGAGGACTGGACAGTTGTTTCTTAAGGTTTGTTTACATTCTCTAGTCTTTACTGAGGTGTTTCCAACATTTGTTGTCTGGTTATTCATCTTTTATATCCTACCTGGTTTGCAGGTTATTCATACCAGTGTGTGGGCTGGTCAGAAGCGTCTTGGGCAGCTGGCAAAGTGGAAAACAGCAGAGGAAGTTGCTGCTCTAGTAAGATCTTTGCCTGTAGAAGAACAGCCAAAGCAAATCATTGTTACTCGAAAAGGAATGTTGGATCCATTGGAGGTTCATCTGTTGGATTTCCCCAACATTGTTATTAAAGGAAGTGAACTGCAACTTCCTTTCCAAGCATGTTTGAAAATTGAAAAATTTGGGGATTTAATTTTGAAGGCCACAGAACCACAAATGGTGTTGTTCAACATCTATGATGACTGGCTGAAGAGTATATCTTCATACACTGCATTCTCTAGGCTTATTCTGATTCTGCGTGCACTTCATGTGAATAATGAAAAGGCAAAAATGTTACTGAAGCCCGATAAAACCATCATCACCGAACCTCATCACATATGGCCTTCTCTAAGTGATGATCAGTGGATGAAGGTAGTTTTGGATTTTAGGCTATTAGCTGCTAAATAACCTTTTTTATTTTGAATGTTATTTGTGGAAAAGTTGTGTAGTTCCTGATTCTGCAGCTTTATAAGTTCTCTGGGTATTTATTACTTAAAACTTGGTGCATTGACAGGTGGAGGTTGCGTTAAGAGATCTTATACTGTCAGATTATGCCAAGAAAAATAACGTGAATACTTCAGCCTTGACTCAATCTGAAATCCGTGATATTATACTTGGAGCTGAGATTACTCCACCTTCTCAACAGCGGCAACAAATTGCAGAGATTGAGAAACAGGTTATATATTTTGTTTCTTCTTGGTTATAAAATTGAAGACTTTTTTTCACACTTTTTCATTTTTTGCCTTTTGTAAACCTGATTTTCTCCTCATCTGCAACTCGAACCACTTAATCTTAGTTCTGTATTCATTATTTTACAGGCACATGAAGCAAATCAGGTGACAGCTGTAACGACAAAGACTACAAATGTTCACGGTGAAGAACTCATAGTAACTACCACTAGTCCTTATGAGCAAGCTGCTTTTGGTTCTAAGACTGACTGGCGTGTCAGGGCAATATCTGCCACAAATTTATATCTTCGTGTGAACCATATATATGTGAACTCTGAGGATATAAAGGTTTGTGCTAATTTTTCATCTTTTATGTCAATTATTATACAGTTCTTCCCCGAGCTAAATATTAGATTTTGTGTTGCAGGAAACTGGTTACACCTATATTATGCCAAAGAATATTTTGAAAAAGTTTATATGCATAGCAGATCTTCGAACGCAAATTTCTGGTTACATGTATGGCATAAGTCCTCCGGACAACCCTCAGGTTAAAGAAATTCGCTGTATTGTGATGCCACCACAATGGGGGACTCATCAACAAGTTCATTTGCCATCGGCTCTTCCAGAACATGATTTCTTGAATGATTTAGAGCCTTTGGGATGGATGCATACTCAACCAAATGAACTTCCTCAGTTGTCGCCTCAGGTTTTGCTTTTATTCGATTATAAGACTGGTTTTTAGTAATCCTTATGGAATATAGTAACGAGTTTAGAAGGATGATGATATAGTGTTGAAACAGTCGGCTTTTGCTTATCAGGGAACGTTACACGGTTATCTCACTTGAAAATTGATCTTACTGCAGGATCTCACTTCACATGCCAAGATCCTAGAGAACAATAAGCAATGGGATGGGGAGAAATGTATTATCTTGACTTGCAGCTTTACTCCTGGTTCTTGTTCTTTAACTGCATATAAGCTCACTCAATCGGGTTATGAATGGGGGCGTGTTAATAAGGATACGGGAAGCAATCCACATGGTTACCTTCCCACTCATTATGAAAAAGTTCAAATGCTTCTTAGTGATCGTTTCCTTGGTTTCTACATGGTAAACCTTCATACCTGCTCAAAGTTGATTCATTATTTTTTAGAAGTGATTATAATTTTTAATTAAAATTATGAATATTAGTATCATCTTGATTTACTGATCATTACATTTTTGAAAAAAAAAATTGTAGGTTCCTGATAATGGTCCATGGAATTATAACTTCATGGGAGTGAGACACGCGTCCGGGATGAAATACGGAGTGAAGCTTGGGACTCCAAGGGAATATTACCACGAGGACCATAGACCAACTCATTTCTTAGAGTTCAGCAATATGGAGGAAGGGGAGACAATTGCCGAGGGAGATCGAGAGGATACATTCTCTTAAGAGATAAAAAAATATTTTTTGTTAGAGATATATACAGTGAGACACGTCAGAATATGTTGTATTATTATTTGATGTTTGTGCATCCTACTGATTCTAGGGGTTTTGTAATAACGGTATCCATAGCTTTGTAAATAGTTAACAATTTATCTCTGCTTTGGCATTTGTTTGGCGCTTTGTATTCTTCCATGCAAATGATTTAAAACATTCGTGTTTGCTGGGGATGAATATTCCGAGGATGAAAATTCTCTCTAAGTAGTTTATTATCTTAATATTTATTGAGGATCTACTTTTCTAGCATTGTTATGAACCAGTTTTTAGTGTTTAGATGGAACCAATAATTTTAGGACTAAAATCAAAGCATTCGTGCGTTGAGAGATAAATATGAAGGTAGTTCGAGTCGTACAATATTCTGAAGTGACTTTATATAGTCCGATCAGATGAGATGAGTCGTGATAGATCAGTGATTAGTTTCAATGAGAATGAAGTGTAATTCCTCGAAGAAAAATGTATCCTACAGAAAGTGAGAAAACAGTATATGTTAATCGAACTTTATATTTAAATAAAAAGAATAAGCTAACTTAAGTGATTGAAATTTCAGTACCTTAAATATATAGTAACGTGGTCGTACGTTTCCCTTATTTTTGCTTATGGGATGACTTTTATTTTTAAGGATGACTATTACAAACAACTATACACAACGGCTCTATACATTATACCCCCGCGAAAAAAAAAGCGTTTCCAAACAAAAGGTTAAAGTTTTTGAGAACTTCACAATGTGTATTTAACAAATTCCTAGTTTCAGATTTTCAGCAACTCCGCATGATTCATAGCTAGCCACATTCATAGTGTGGAAAGGAGAGACATGCAGCCCCCTCTCTAATAAATAGGCGCCCAGCCCAGTCTTCCCTGCACAATTAATAAAAAAAGTAATACAAAAAAAAACGGCATATTCACGCAGAGATTCACAATCTGTATTTAACACATCAAATTCAAAGTTCTATCTCTTTGAAATAGTTCATGGCCCAGTTTTCTCTTCCAACTCAGGTTTTGACTCTTTCTCTTCTGAAATGAAATCGGAACTTCCTTCAGCTGTAAATGTCTCATCATCAGTATGTCCTACAGCTGGAGGGCTTTTAAAGATTTCATTATTTTCCAGATGAATTAACTTATCTTTGGATTCTCCCTTCAGTAGTTCTACCACCTCTAGTATGGTGGGCCTCTTCTCTGGCTGACTCTGAGCACACAATAGCGCAATTAAAACAACTCTTTTAAGCTCTTCCTCCACATAGTTACCATCCAGCTTTGGATCTGCTAGTTCACTAAACTTCATTTCACAAGCCAAAGGCAGTGCCCAATCATTTATCGATCTCTTTACTGTAGGACTAAGTTTTTCAAGTGGTTTTTTGCCACTAGCAAGTTCTAGAAGAAGAATTCCAAAACTGTAGACATCACAACTCTCGCTTGCTTTACCTAGCATAGCATATTCAGGTGCAAGGTACCCTAGGGTGCCCTTAACTCTTGTAGTCACATGTGTTGCCCCATCAGGGATCAACTTCGCAAAACCAAAATCAGCAACCCGAGCCTGGAAATCTGAATCCAACAACACATTGCTTGCCTTGATATCTCTGTGGATGATGTGTGGTGTTGACTGGTGGTGAAGATATCTGAAAGGAAATAAAATTACAGTATTAATATAGTGATAGAGGTGGAAGAACGTATGGAAAGCCACAATGGCACTACTTACGCAATTCCCTCGGCAGACCCAATTGCGATGTTCATCCGCCGGCTCCAATCAAGAAGGGATTCTGCTGAATGCTGTCCATGAAGATGAGAGAGCAAGCTCAAATTCGGCATGTAATCATACACAATTAACCGTTCCTGACCTTCAGCACAATAGCCACGTAGACTGAGAAGATTCTTGTGACGGACTCTAGCCAATATCTCAACTTCAACAGCAAATTCCATGTCTGCTTTGTTGCTCCAAACTTTCAATCTTTTCACTGCAATCTGCAAGTGTACGCACATAGACTTATATAGAATTGCAAGCAGCCATCATAAGATTTTGGAAGAAGGAAACAGGTTACCAAGTCAGCCATCAGCAGAATTTACAAAAGGTTTGTTTCCAAGTACCAGTTAAAATCGTTTTAAACAGAGATTTTTGCAGCTTTGAAAGTTGATATTTTGTTACATAAAAGCATTATAGAAGCACATCCATCTAGGAGCAGAAATCACACCAGTTCACTTTTATCAGATTTAGACAATAACCATCCTACAAATTAAGGAGGGGGGATCCCATCGAGAAGGTGGCATAATTGTTTTCCATTCACTTACAAATTATTATAAAAAATCTTCTGTACTTGCATTGAATCGCTGAAACAAATAATATCCAGCATAGATCCCAAATGTAAGTTATTTTTCCAATCTAATCATAATTTGATTGAGAGAAGAAAACTAATTCCTCATAATCTGATCCCTCTCAGTGTTACATGTTAAAACCATCTTAAATAAGTAATCTAAAATTAAAAAAGTCAAAAGAAATTTCTTTGTCAGGTCTTACAATCTGTCAAATCAGATCCCACATGCCACTAACACATCGGAGACACACTATTGAGTTAAAGTAACAACATTAACCATTACAAAGAACACAGCAACAATAATCAAAACTAGAACGATCAAGAATAACAATAAACCGAAGCTGATTTGGAAAGATAAAACAAAACTAAAAAAAAAGTAAACCCATACTTGTGATCCATCCCAAAGCTGGCCCCAGTACACACTGCCAAATCCCCCTTCTCCTAGCTTGTTGTCATAGTTGAAATTATTTGTAGCTGAGTGCAATTCTTTCAAAGAAAACACCCGCCATGGAGGCTGCTTCTTCCCTCTTCCTTTGCTGCATTGAAAGAGACAAATATAACCCATCCAACCAAAAAAGCATAATTCACACAAAAGTTTCAATCTAAAACCGCAAGTAAAATACTCCGCACCTAAATATGCTCATAACAAGGATAGACTTGCATGTTATGTTAACTAAGTGATAAGAACAAACTCAATCTCACAACCTTCCAATCACTATTTTCCCTTGACATTTTACCAATCACACTAACGACTTTTAGTAGTTTTGTTGCTTACAGCAGCTTGACTAATACCTAGAATCTGAGCTAAAGCAGATTCCCTCACTATAAATAATTTCCCCAAAAAAAGTAAAAAAATTGAAAGTGAGGTGAGTGACGCAACTATTTATATCTGATCCAAACAATAATAATGATAAAATCATTACAAACTATAGACCACTGAAACATTGTCTTACCGATCCGAACCATTTCCGCAACAAAAGATTGGGCAAAAAGCCATAACCTTCGCTCAAAGCACTCCCCACTGTCTCTGGAACTGAACCTTCTCAATCGACAAGAGAAAAATCAACAAAATCGAAACTTGAAGTTGACCCACCAAAGCAAATCAAGCGCTCTACTCAGAAAGCCGTTACTTTGTGGTATTGTGCTGCTGGTCACAAACAAGTTGGAGAGAAACCGAAGACAAGCTTTTTTCTGGGATGCTGCAAACTTTAGGTTGTGCGAAACTGAAAATCGAAAAGAAAAGGAAAAGAAAAGGAAAAGCTGAGAGCAATCGGTTATTATTGTTTGGCCGATGAGATGGTGTTGGTGTGTAAGCGAAGTCTTCTTTGTTTTTTTTTCTTCCAGCTGTTTGCACATTTCACATTTCAAAACAGAGAAACACGCACGTGGGGTCCATTTTTCTTTTTCTTGGAACAAAATTCGATGTAAAAATTAATTGAAACTGAAATAACAAGATTTAAAAGTATTTGAATTCATGGATTCATCTGCAGTTAAAATTTATATTTAAATTAATAAATTCATTTAGCATTTTTCCTTTTTATAACATAGTTTTGTCTTTTAGTTTATTACTTATTAATATGATGAGAGGGTGATGCAAATAAACTATTTCACATGGAATTCTATCACTAGTTAATTTTTATAAGATAAATATTAATGTCTGAATAACAGTTGTTTTCTTTAATAAATGTTAATTACAAATTTTATTAATGAAGAGTTAAATCTATAACTTTTTTTTATCTCTTTTTTTCACGTTTTATCATCAAACGTATATTTACAAGAGGAATTTTACGAATAATATTATTATTTAAATTATAAAAAGGAATATACTCATTATAATAAAAATAATTCATAATTATTTTAACTTTTTGAAATAGTAAATATTGTAGTCTAACATTTGCAATTATTTTAACTTTTTGTCTCCATCATTCCTAAATTATGCATTGTATAATTAGTTTAAATCAATGAACATTAACATGATTGCATCATATATGAAAGTAACAGGAAAGAAATATCAAAATTTGCTTTTATACTTATACTACGGAAATAAAAAAATTCCTACAATTTCTCATAAGTTATATATATATATATAATTATTTAAATATTTACATTTCATATATATTATTTTCCTGGTACAATGTACGGCCAATCACACTAGTTTTAATACAGTACTGTATACGAAAATTCCTTAACTTTGACATGGGCAATAAATAAATGGTAAAAGTTCCTTCCGGAGTGTACAAGACAAAAACAATGAATTTTCCGGTATGCTTGGCTTAATTTCTCTTATAATTTTTAATAAGACCATAAAAAGGTAAAAATAACATTAAATTTCAAAAATTAAAATTAACTTATAAAAAAATTAAAAATCTAAATTTAAAGAAGTTATAAAATTTCATTTTATCTTATGATAAAGTTAATTTTAATTATAATTTATCTAATGATAAGCAAGTGAAGTTGACAATACATCTAATTTTAAATTATTCTCAAGATATCAAGTTTATATGTTTTCTTTTTATATATTTTCTTATAAAAAAAAACATCGTCGGTGCTCAAAAATAACATTCTTATACACTAACTTTGAAGACCATGTGCGATATTACGTGAGATTAATTTCTTCCATTAAATCTAATACTTGCTAATTTGTATAAGTTTCTTTTACTTATATATATATATTGTAGGAGATAAAAATAAAATTTAAAAACTAACAAATTATACAAACATCTAATGTTAAAATTCTTGTTATTTATTATGTGGTTAAACTTTCTTATTCATGTCTAACTATCATTAACGTAAGGCTTCTTTAACTTGTATTTGTTTTCCCAAAAGTTGTTTTCGGCTGAGTGTAAATATTTTACAGAAAAAATCAGTGAACAACGAATTATATTGGTTAGCTTGTAAAAGATAAAAGTTTGGTATAATAATTGCATTACATAAGATTGGTATTTAGTGAATATTAAATTGCACTAGTTGGAGAGTTGGAGAGTACTTGTCTTGGTAAAGTGAAGTGACACATAATTGAGTGTGATGAGTAAGCATAAAAGGACCCAATGTTTTGGCAGCTATACTTGTCACACTTTTGCTAGAGAATAAAAACATTAATATATTCTATGGTATTGATCGAGTAGCCTAGATCAACGTATTGGACATCGAATGGTTACAAAAACACATAAAAACTTTATTCATAATTAAGTTTAAGATAAAGTATATTTATCACGTTGGACAATGATTAAAGTTCGTATCGAAACTTATAAATACGAGTATGAGGTATAACACAGATGATTCTTTTTTATTTTGAATTTAAGATTTTAATGTGTTAAATGAATAATTGGATTACTAATTTTAGCATCGAAATATTTGTGTCAGAAACATTCTCGGCTTGAAACTGAAATATAAAATACTTACAAAAGTAATAGCCAAAACTAAAAAAGGACCTAGAAAATTTTTTGTGAAAAATGTTTTAATTGTGATTTCTAACCCAACACCCAAAATAATTATTGTAACAAATATTTTAGCAATACACTCAAAACTTAATTAAACATACGAAAGTATATTTAATTAACTTTACAGATAAAGTATATTTATCATATATTGAACTATGATTATAGTTATGTTAATTAAAAGTTAATATCGAAACCTGCAAATACGAGTATGAGGTAAAAGATAAATGATTTATTTTATTGTGAATTTAAAATTTAACGTGTTAACCAAATAGTTTAACTACTAATTTTAGCGTCGAAATATTTTTGAGAGGTAAAATCTCACACAACTTAAAAGTAGAATATAAAAAGCATGAAAAAATAATAACCAAAAAACTGATTAATTGTGATTTCTAATTGTAAAAAAAATGTTTCAATTGTGATTTCTAACCCACACCTAAAATAATTAACGTAAGAAATATTTGAGCAATACGAAAGTATAAATACAACATAATAAATATGTATATTTCTTTCTATACATATTTGAATACTGTAAGATATACGTATTCCTTGCACTAAAGTTAACTCTCATTAGGTGGGATCCTTTACGTTCATATACTCATACTCACGTGGTTAATGTAATTTCCAAAAAACTGCAATAAAAATATCATAGTATTCAGAAAAAATTGTATATAGTGGCAGGGATTATTAGGTTATGTCTGTATAATATAATATGATTTTGTTAATTAGGTTGGACTATGATGATTCAATGATTGATGTGTGTCAGGGCTGCGACTTGTCCTCCAACACATCCTCAAATGAGTTGTCATATAATTCTTTAAACTAATTAATAATACTTCAAATTATCAACACCAACCATATTTCAAACCAAATTTTTAATCAGGTTATTTTCAGTTATAAGAATAACGAATTGTTTTCTTTAATAATATAACGATATATCTATACTAAAAATTAAAGAAAATATTAATAAAAATGAAAATTTCATAAGACTTATTTATTAAATTGCAGATTGTGAAATCACCTTACAAGTTATTCGATTCAATGAAATCCATAAAAATTAAACTCATTGGTGAAATAGAAATGTTGCCATTGCTGTATTTAAAATTTTACATATTGTGTAGTTTAATATTTTTGGTAAGATTTTATGTTTAAAATGTGTTTGGATGAATTATTTTTTATATAATTAGCAATGTTTAACGGACTTGTAGGAGAAATATATTGCTATAAGAAATTTGAAGTATAGTGCTATAATTAATTTATTTATTTACGTACAAGAAAATGATAATAAATAGAAGAAAAGTGGGTAGTGGGAGTGATGGTGTAGGAGGTTTGATAGCATGTGATGTGAAATGTGATGGTGTTGGTGTTGGGAAAGACATGGAGTTTTGGGTGAGTGATGAAAGATGTTGTTGGTGTGTGGTAACGGAAGCTGGAGCCGTAGATTCTGTGTCACACGAATCAATACCTAAATCAAAGGTGGAGTCCATCGTATCTCCCATACCACTGCGTGCATCGTAACAAAGCCCTGAGTTATTGTTCAGTTTCAGCTTTCTTTTCATCCTCCAAACCATTTCTCTCTCGAATGGCACCGGCCCACTAAGCCCATTATCGTTCAGCCTGAGTTCACTAAGGTTTCTCAAAGCCCCAAAACTCCTCGGAATTGACCCATTCAAGTGGTTCCCATCGAGATGAAGCACGCGAAGGTTTTGCAACTTCCCCAGTGATTCCGGCACCGGCCCATGCAAATTCATGTTCGACAAAATAACAATCATCAGGGCTTTCATACCATCAAACCCATCACTGGGTATCGTAGTCAAGCCCATTGGGTTTCCTTTGAGGATCAAAGCCTGAAGCGAACTTAGGCTTTTGATCGACTCAGGAAATGGGCCTTGCAGACGGTTGTGGCTTAAATCCAAAAGCATAAGGTCTTTCAGGATCATGGGCTTCTCCGGCAACGGGCCCACAAGCCGGTTGCGGCTGCAATCCAATTTGATGAGAGAGTGACAGTCCCATAGAGAAGAAGGAATTGGGCCCATCAGAAGATTCTGGCTGAGGTCCAACACGTTCAAAGAGGGGAATGTGAAACCGGGTATGGAATCGGTTAATTTGTTGGCGCTCAAATCCAAAGATGTTAAACCCGTGATCCGGCCCAATGAGAGGGGAATGGAGCCGTTGAGGTTGTTTTTGTGAAGGTCAAGGACCTTCAAACGTGTAAGATTGCCTAATTCAACGGGAATGGGCCCAATGTGGCCGTTTTCTCTGAGGACCAATGTTTGCAAGGTTGGGCCCAACAGGCCCAAGAAGGATGGGATGGGCTGAGGGTTGTAACTGAAGCAACGGTAAAAGAACAAGGTCTTGAGGTGGGGGAGGCGTGTGATGGAGGGGGAGATAACGGAGCGGGTCGGGTCGCATGTCGGAAAAGCGGTGTCGTCGGAGAGTGCTCCGAACGAAAGGGACACCACGTGGAAAACGTTGGCCTTGTCGGGCATGCACTCGATGCCGTGCCAGCGACCGCGGCACACGTCGGGGATGTCGGTGGCCCAGTCGTTTCCGGTGGCTATCATGATATCGTACACCGCCTCTTGCTCTCGCCTATCCGTTCGGGCCCCGTCTTGGTTCATGGAAAACCCCGTTTGTGGACCATCTACCAGGGTTGACGGGACGCCGGAATCTGACATGATCACCGTGAACGCCGTTACATGAGACGGCAAAAACAACGTGCAACGTAGTACTTGTAGGAACAGAAGAAGACAGAGAGTCATTTTTTATGGTATGTGTGACGATGATACTGAAATTGATGTTTTTGGGTTGGTTTTTTTTATAGACGGTGGATCCATGTTAATGAATGGGGTGAGTGTGAGTAGTTATGTTTTTTACTATTTAAATGCGAAGTTGGTGATTTGCCTGGAGTGGAGTAATGTGTGCTCACGAGAAAGGACGTTAGTGTTATAAATGGTGTAGGGGATGGAGAATTTGAGCATTTATGTCGGTCACGAGATCTACACCCTTGTACTATAGGGATCTCTAATGGCTTTTAACGTTGTCCCATTCTGTTCAAGCTATGTGCTTTCTATTTCACCTTCGCTTCACTTAACAAATATTGGGAATAAAACTCGAGTTCTTTACCACTGTTCTAATTTAAGACTCTGTTTTTTCACACCAACTTTGGTACACAATACTTAAGTTTTGCATGATTCGGTGGAACATATAAAGATAGACCGAATTGGTGGGATGTGTGTTTTTATCTCGTAGTTCATTATCCAAAAGAAAACAAGGAAATGGAAATGATAGGATTGTATAAAAAATAATATATAGATCAAGTTATTGGAAAACTTTGGTATGTTCTGTTCTCTTTTTGCAGAGTTCATGGGATTGTTTTCTCTTGCAACATAAACTGAGTAATAAAGCTGCCATTGCATGATGTAAGAGCACAAAATGTTAATGAAAAACAAAAATTTAAACTTTATGTTATGCCGACTAAAAGGTTGTGCACCGGAAAGCCTATAGTACGTGTTCCGTAAGAACACAAAAAATTCCATACAGGTGTCACCATTCATGGGCATTTGCTGAGTCATCTTGTATCGTATCACAGGTGGCAAGAGCAGACATGCATGCACAATATTGTGAATCTCACAACACCACACGTATAAACGCCATCAAAACAAAAATGAATTTCACCAATTGTTGGAAGTCCCACATCGACTAGAGATAAGGCCAAATTATAATATATAAGTGAGGTGCAAACCTCACCCTACGGGTTGAGTTAGGCTTAAAAACCCACTTTCTAATATGGTATCAGAGCCATGGTTAGTGCCTATCCTAGCGAGTTCTAAGTGGACATTCTATTCTTCTATTCCACCCGCTATCGGGCCGTTATCGGACCACCCAATTTCTACTATCACGCACGAGATGTCTATACCTCGACGTGAAGGGGGTGTGTTGGAAGTCCCACATCGACTAGAGATAAGGCCAAATTATAATATATAAGTGAGGTGCAAACCTCACCCTACAAGCCGGTTTTGTGGGGTTGAGTTAGGCTTAAAAACCCACTTTCTAATACCAATAACTTCATATGTATATATATATATATACCTAACCTACTGCTTTTAAAAAAAATCTTAAAAAACAAATCTTTGATGCTTGTTCCATATTTTCCCATTGATACCAATCTGTTGTTTTGTGGCAGAAGGAAAATCGAAGCTATGCAGGAGGTGAAAGAAGCGAAACGCGGTGGTGGAGCCACCATGCAACAAAGTGGAAGTGTGAGACTAAAGGAGAAGACGGTGAAGGACATGATGGTGGACAGGAAGAGGCTGGTGGAGGTGCCGTACACGGCGTCGCTGGCCCAAACAATGAATACTCTGGTCGCGAACAAGATTGTGGCGGTGCCGGTGGCTGCGCCGCCCGGGCAGTGGATCGGAGCCGGAGGGTCTATGATCGTAGAGTCCGATAAGCAAACCGGTGCCGTAAGGAAACATTATATAGGAATGGTGACCATGCTTGATATTGTCGCCCACATAGCTGGTGATGACCACTTGAGTGGTGGTGATAATATTACCCAAGACCTTGATCAAAGGATGTCTGACCCTGTTTCCTCCATCATTGGTCACTCCTTTGAAGGCCTTAGCTTGTGGACTCTCAATCCTAATACCAGGTTAATTAACTTGCTAACCTTTCTTTTATCACCTCTACCAACACAAAACAAAAAACAAAACCTCTGTATATTATGTGTTGTTCTGATTTAATTTTTGGGTTTGATTACTATGAAGAGTTTGATTGTTTAGTTATTCTTGCATGATGTATTAGTATGTTAGACTGTATGGAAGTGTTCAGCAAAGGGGTGCATCGTGCTATGGTACCGGTTGATGGCCAGGAAGAGAACGTGGCATCTGGGGCGGAGCTTGCAGAGTCTGCTTCTAGCTACCAAATACTGACTCAGATGGATATGCTCAAGTTCTTGCATGGTCGTGCTGCTGAACTACACAGCATTTTATCACGTTCTGTTCAGGATTTGGGGGCTGACACTGTACAGATTTATGCCATCACTGATCGCACAAAACTTGGTTATGCCATAAAGTGCTTAAAGGCAGCTATGTTAAACGCTGTTCCTATTGTTAGAGCTAGTGATGTCGGTCAAGATGATCACAAGCAGCTTATAAATGCAAGTTTAATCACTTCTCTCCGTGCCCTTTTCGTATCGTTGATATTGCTGTCTTAGAAATGACAGAAAGGGAGTTGAATGTTATGTTATGCTCATAATTTTTGTGTCATGATTTTTGCAGGGAAGATGCAGGAAGCTTATTGGTACATTTTCTGCAACTGATTTGAGGGGATGCCACATAACCTCGCTGAAATCATGGTTGGGAATAAGTGCATTAGCATTCACTGAAGAAGTTGAATCCAGTCCATTGTACAGTGAGTCAGACATGCAGAATAGAGGGTCCTCCAGAAGGGAGCTTGTGACCTGCTATGCTGAATCACCTTTGTCTGAGGTAATTGAGAAGGCAGTGACTAATCATGTTCATCGAGTTTGGGTGGTTGATCAAGAGGGTTTGCTCGTGGGGGTTGTGTCCCTTACAGATGTAATTAGAGTTATAAGGCATTCTCTGCTATCAGATTCGAATGATCAGTGACTCTGCAACAAAACTGTGTCAAGTTGAAGTATTGCTCAATCAAAAACACTGTCATGAGGATTGAGCAATTTTGTACTAATTAGACTTCTTTAAGTTTTGAAAGGGTGTTTGGTTAGTCTGCATACTAAATTTGAGAGAATTCTGGTGTGAAAGAAGAATATTTCAGGAAATTCATTGAGAAAATATTAGAGTTTGAAGAAGTAAGAATATTTGAAGAAATGAAATAATATTATCAGTAGGCAATTACATATCAACAACAATATCATGATATTCTGAAGAGGATTTGAGTTAATATATTTTAATTAGTCCTAAAATTACATTTGTTTTTCATAAGTAGAATCTATTATATCCCATAAGGAAAATTAGTGACGGATATTTAATTATAAATAAATAAAATTAGTGACTGAAATTTAATAAAAAATAATAATTCAGGAATTCAATAAAAAACAACAACTCTTAATTAAAAGATTAAGTATAACTTGAAAAATATCCGTTTTGTAAACTAGTATATTTATACAATTGTTGGTGTTGTGAAGGATTAGTAGTAAAAGTATTATTCTACTTTGATGTGATCATATTTCCGTTCATCAATTTTCTTTGTAATTTTCAATTTAACCAGGTGATGTAGGATTTGTTTATCAAAATTTTGTTTAGTTTTCTTTATATTTTATTTTTCATATTTTGAATTTTTATCAAGACTTCATTTATTGTAATTTAGAATTAGAAAGTAGAATTCATGTTTTTCACAATTTGTATTCATTGTAGACACATAAAACACCTTTAAAACGTAACTAACCCGTGTGAATATGTGGTATTTAATTCTGACAATCTTTTTGCATTCTTATTGTTATGCAAATAAAGTTTAATAATGTACGATTAACTTTATATTTGAGCAGAAATAAACACATAAAAAGCTTGAGATCTAATATTTAAACATCATAGAATTAAGGAAACATTACGATGAATGAACACGCGCAGGAGGGTCTAAATTAGCAACAGAATAATCTCGGAAGAAGCAAACAGAAAGTGAAAGAAAGGGAGTGGGTATCTATCTGTGTGAAAAAGGTAAACAAGAGAACAGCATGAAGTTAAAAACATTGAAGACAACAACAACCTCGAGCTTTGAAACAACCTTTTTTCATTATCTTTCTTTCCAAAACTTAATCACCATAACCTAATGCTGTGGCATAAATTATTTGAAAATGAACAGAGTGAAAAAATGCAGTATTTTTTAACTCCAGCTCCTAGAGAACAAAGAACTCGTTTGGCATTTCGAAACCAAAAAGGAAATGAAACAAAAATGATAAGAAGAAAGGCAAAAGACAGATATTGGTTGTTGCAATAATGGTCACTGTAAATAAGCACGGGAGAGCAAAAAGTTAACACGATTATGAAGTCTATGAACTGAGGTTAACCATTGTTTATCAATTTAGTTTTCCAACACTAAAAATATATGAATTTAGTTATTTAAACTAAATTTTATTAGTTTTATTTGATGTTTAAAACGTGTTTAATAATAGTATTTTGATTTTTTATATTATTTGATACATTTTTATTTTAATATTAACTGTGAAACGTATTTAAAATATCAAATAAATTTAAAAAAATTCAGTTAAAATAACTAAATTTATGTGTCATTCTAAAAATGAGAAAATAAATGGATAGAAAACATTAATTTTAACTTTTACTAAAAGTGAAAAAATCAAAACATATTTAAACTTTTTAATATTTTCAATATTGATGTGATGGTTTAAAGATATCACTGGACCCATATAGTTTTATAAGAATAAAATGATAATGAAATTCAAATTTAAGAGACAAAATTTTAAACAGTCATTAATTATAACTATATCATTAACTTTTGAAGTTTTAGTTTTAAAAGAGATAATACTTTAAATAATCATTAATCTTAATTATATCACCTGATCAACTTTTGAGATCTCGTTCCAACTAAAAACAGTAATCAATACATGAAGGTATGCTAAATCACATAATATAGAACTCGGATATTTTGGAATATACTCATAGCCATGTGGATATAATGAACCAGTAGTCTTCTAATTATGACTTAATAGAAATTAGTAATAATAATTAAAAAGGTTGCTCTTTCACCATGGTTTTCTTGACCATATAATTATGAAAGTTTGTTTTGATGGGAAAAGAAATTATCAGTAACGATGTATGAGCTAATTAATAATTGGGAAAAGAGTTCAGAAAACCAACAACATAAATTATTTGGTGCATGTTACTATATATAATCTACTGCAAACAACATGAGATAAAGACTTTATTGGGCAATTAAGTAGGAGTTGTTTGCTTACGTCAGTTGATTATGAACAAAGTATGCCTTTCGAGGAATCTATAAATAATAGAAACGAACATGCATGATTCTCAGTATAGCACTATAAAACAAGGTTAAAGTAGGCCTTAACCCATGCCGAAGATTGGTAGTAGTAATTTGTATTCACACTGTACGGTTATTAAAGTGCATGTGTGAGACAAAAAAAATAAAAGTATGCTATGCTCTTCACTCGTGTTTCACCTTTAATAAGCTCAAAATTACTGAAATGATAGACACAAAGCCATACAAGAACTGCAAATTCTCTAAATAATTTATTAATAGTGATATTTTTTACGATACAAGTATCTTTAGATGAAGATGATTATGTTTAAATTGGATATGTAAACTTAAAGCTGAAAAAATAAATAATGATTAATCTCTAGTTATTGTTGCTGTCACCATAATCCTGTGATTTCATATTTAAACTCTCACTTTCTTAAATTATGTAAAAAAAACATATTTAATTATTTAAAACATATAATACAAGTTGTTTTTGGACGGAGGTTATGTCTTTTTCACAAATTATTTATAAGTTTCAAGTTTAAGTTAAAGTTTAGTCTTCAGTTATTGTACCGTTGCTGAGTCAGATATTCCGTACAAAAAATACTAATGTTAAAGTTAGTATTTGTCTGAATTTTGTGACAATAAATGTATAGTAAAAATAATGGGTTAAATATGTTTTTAGTCCCTAAACTATTGGCCGTTTCTGGTTTTCGTCCATCTTTCAAAGTAAGGTACAATTTGGTCCTCATTCTTTTCGAAACGTTCGTTTTAGTCCTTGAAAACTAAACACTGTTTAAAAATTTGGTCCTTATTTAGCAACAAATGAGGACTAAAACCAAAATTCCGAGGACTAAAATGAACGTTTCGAAAAGAATGAGGACCAAATTGTACCTTAATTTGAAAGAGGGACGAAAACCAGAAACGACTAATAGTTTAGGGACTAAAAACATATTTAACCCTAAAAATAATTAACTATTCAGGATGAACTTCTTATTAATACTAGTTTAATTGCAATCCAAACATTAATGATTTAGTTTAGGGTTAATGTAATTATTTTCATTGTTAATATACGTCGTTCGAACAACCAATCCATCGCTTATTTAGCACGGGATTAAAAGGTTCGTGTGACTAACCGGACGGGGTTATACGGTATATAAATGAAATTTATAGAGTTATATTTATTATAGAGTAATTGTTATAATAAATTGTAAGTAAATTATAATAAAAAAAAAAAGACTTGGTTACTATATTTCTTACTATTGTAAGTAAAAATAATTATTGAATGGAGAAGAGCTAATAATAAGTGTGGTCCTAATAGTGATTGGGTGATAAAATAATAAGAGCAGAACCTATAATCTTGTGCTTGATTCCCAGGCGTGTGAAGTGGGTGTCAGAAGAAGGAGTATAGTTTGGTGTTTAGGCCATGACGAGAGAAAAGTCTATACATTCATTCATGCTGTGTTTGCTATGCACTGCATATACAGTAAGGATTTTTTTAATAATTTTTTTACAATAAATTATATATTATTATTTTATTGGTTAGTATGTAAAACAGACTAATCACAACTTATTATTGTCAAAAAAAAATTGTTAAAAGAATATTTTTTTATACAGTAAACCACTTCCTTAAAATGACAAAATTCCCATATTCTCTTATTCAACCGCGTGCCAACCTTAACAAAACTTTCCACTCCAACACCTCACATTAAAATACAATACAACCTTTATGCATATATATTAACACAATTTTTTACTTAAAAGTAATTTGTGAGTATAAATTTACATTAGATAAAAGAAAACCCAATACATCAATATTTTACGTTAAAAATAGTCTCAATTCATCGTATGAGTTTGATTCAAATCACATTTTTATAATTTCTCCTTTTTAAACTATTTAAAAGAAATAACTCATTAATTATAACGGTTTTTTTCATTTTCGATTAAAAGTGACGTGTATAATATTTTTATAATAAAATGACTAATAATATGTTAACACAAATTTTTCAATAATATTTTAATATAATGCATATGTTATTTTCTCATTAAATTTATAGTACATCAACATAATAATAAATAAATAATGAATTGGTAAGAACATGATATATATATATATATATAT